GATTTTCTTTTTTTAAAAAAAAAAAAATCAAGCAGTTGTTTCGTCTAATTATTCGGCATATCTTTCGAACCAGACAAATTTTTAAGAGCGATTGTTGATCGTAGCTTAATAATAAATTTTCCATTGTCACCTTCCTTTATTTCTCTTATTCGCCTAGCCAGATAGCAAAGTATATGGTGCTCTTCATATTTAGTAGTTGACATCTATCCTTTATTTAAAAATTCATTGATGGCTTTATTGCCAATTTACTAATAGTAGTGAAGTTAATTCACTAGATTAATTTTACCACATCGTTAAGAACCACTAAACAATTTAAAAATACATTATAAATATAATAAAATATGACATAATACCTCAGTTCATAGTTACGTACAAGTTCAGTATCTCTAACTGTTATATAGATAAAAAGTACCATAAAATTGTCAGAGCCGAATATATAGTAAAGTAGTACAGTACAAAACACAAATTAGGATGAATGTGTGAAAATCATGATAGTACGTATGTACGTACAATTTGTAAAAGAAAAAATCGTCAAATCAAGAATACTTTTCCTACTACTTGTCCTTACCCTAACAAGAAAAAAAAACAATACAATCAAGGATACTTTTCTTACTACTTGTCCTTACCTTAACAAGAAAAAAGAACAATACAACCAAGAATACTTTTTCTTCTTACTTGTCCTTATTCTAACAAAAAAAAAAGACAATACTGGCGCCTAAACATTAAAAAGAAGTTTCTCAAAAGTTAAATTTTACAAATCTATGTTAACCGTCAAAATTTTATAAGTTCCGAATCCGTATCGTTATACAATACTACTTTACTGAATACGTGTCAGGAATTGCCCAAGGCTAGTTTGTCAAATCTACTTAAGCGTACGTACGTACGTGCGTGTATATATAGCAAAAAATTTAGATGCAAAAAATATATTTAGGCATATTATATGGTACAGTAGCGATTACTCCAAAAAAGTAGCACCCGTGATTGATGTGACTTTATAGGAGTTAATTTTATATATGTATTATATAAGCTGTTAATAAAAAATTGTGATAGTGACTATAAAGTGATTGT